CCCCCACGCTGTGTGAGTCTCCCAGTTTGACACCTTTCTTTCCCATGCTACCCTCCTTGGCTTTTCCATCGTGCCCCTCAAGCTCTTGTAAAAGCCTCCGTTCCCGCCTCCCTGACCTGCTCTCCGCCTCTCCAGTCCTGGAGGTCACTGCCACAGCCGTGCTTCTCAGAGGAAAAGAAAAAGCCTGCTATACTTTCGGGGCCTGGGCTAGCCAGGGGCTTTACGGACACCTCTTATTCCAAACTCTGCTTTCTCTCTGAGTCACCTCACCTCCTCAGAGCCCCGAGGTATCTCTCTTTTGAGGGTAGAGTTTAAAGTCCCTCCTCCGGCAGCTGCCTGCTGTCCTTCTATCAGGTTTCTGTCTAGCCGAATTGATCTGCTTATAGCTCCCTAGAGAGTCATTCTGTTTTTGCTCAAGGAAGCCCCTGTCCCTGAGAAGCTGTCCTCTTTGCTGTTTATCTAAACCATTGATTCATTCGGCAAATTTGTATTGAGTGCCTACTGTGTTCAAGGATGCAGGGAAGAGAGCAGAGGACCAGACAGACCAACAGATGTGGTCTCTCCCTTCTGGGAGCCCACAGCTCAAGGTTCGGCCTGGGCACCACCTCCAGGCCACCCAACCCCTGGGGATTTTTCTTGGCTTGGAATTTCCACAGCCTGTCTTGGGTGTCGGCCAGACGTTCATTTTGGCTGTGCTTCAGTCTTCCCAGTGAGACTCAAGGGAGGGTCTGTGACTTAAACCTCTTTGTGACTTCAGTGCCATTCAGCGCAGACATCAGATGACGTGACGGTTCGGTCATTGGCTAGCCACCACGCGTCAGCCCACCCGCGCCAGGCATCGTGGGTGTCACATAACAACAAAAAGTCTTAACACCCAATGGGAAAGCATGTATACTGCCCGACTGCAAAAGCAGTGGTGATGACCTCGTTCTACTCAGCCCGTCCAGTTTCTGGCCATCCTTCCAGGCTCTGCTTGGGTCTACCATGAGGCTGATAGGGTGAGCTGGACCACAGGGCTTGTTTTCTCTTCTGATCTCTTAAGAGCAGGGAGTCTCCCAGGATCCCCTTGGGCCGTTGGACGAAAGGCCTTCTTGGGAGGTGGGACCTCACAGAGGTCAAGTGCATTACTCAAGGTCACGCTGGAAGCCAGTGGGTCTCCTGGCCTCCGCGAAGCGCTCTCTGTGGCATGTCGGCTGTGGCCACTACTCAGCTGGGGGCCACACGTGTAGCCTTGCCTCTCGCTCTCTGCTCAGACATAAGCTCCTGAGGAGAGTGGCCATTTCTTTTACTTGTGGGGTATTTTCTATTGCTCAGCAGCATCTGACCGTGCTAGACATAGTCTAACTGTTCGGTGTATTTTTGCTAGACTGGATGCGGATAATTTGATCTTGGATAACGGGGCAGACTGTGACCCAGTGACTGGGGAGGGAGCCTGGGGCGGCCCCGTTCCGTCCTTTCCAGTTTTCTGTTCCCTGCTGGCTCTCTGCTTAGGTTGTGGGGATGTGTGTGGATGGTGTGGAAGAGTTCTTAATGTCACCCACTTGAAGGAGCGTTGACCTACAAGCCCAAGGCCCAAAGAAGGAAGTTTGGGACGAAACGGAGAGAAACTTAGTCTGGGAGATCTAAGAGTGAGGCTGAATGTCTCCCTGCTCATTGCTGGCCCAGGGCCCAAACCCTCAAAGATGGGGCGTACTCACCAAGACAGTGCAAGGAGACCAGGGAGCCTGAGAGACAGGGCCTGGAAGGGACAGACAGGGCCTTGTGGTTTCTGTTGCTCCCTTGGATGGGAGGCGAGGACTCGGGTCCCCTGACACTGTTGACCCCAGCCCCCTCCCGACACTGGGGAAATCTGGAACCCACATACTGGGGGACTGCATGGAGGTGGCTTGACCACTTAGTACAGTTCTGCCTGTGTCCGAGCCCATCCTGAGCTCTCGGCAGCCTGGAGTGGAAGAGGAGAGCCTGGGACAGTGTCTGTTGTACTGTGGGCTTTCCCAATGGACCAAAAAAAAAAGGGGGGGGGGAGGGGATTTCAATGGAATTAGAGGCAAAGGATCATTCTGCCACCATCTTGGTCCTTTTTAAGATTCACTCTTTGATGAATAAGCAGCCCTCAGCAGCATCCTTGAACGCTAAGAAGCTAGCGTCCTCTCTGAGGCTCTCTGCTGCATTGTGACAATTTTTATCTAGCTGCTGGGCTCTAATGCAGGGCAGTGAAGCATGGGAACAGGCCACTGCCGAAGGCCATGCAGTCTTTTCTCTGGAGAGCTGGGAGTATGGAGAGGTCTTCCCCTGGCCTGGGTGAGTGGCTGGGAAGGACAAAGTGGCCTTTGGAGTCTTGCCTATTGGGTTTAATTGGGAATATAAAGCAGTAGGAAAAATTTTGGTTTTAGCCACCGACATGTGGACTGCACTCTTTGTCCTGCTCTCTATTATATATATAAAATAGGGAGTCAACCCAGAAAACCTCTCAGAAATCTGGTAATCTGATTCCCTAGCCCTTTCTGTCTAACCATCTGCACGGCCTGGAGTTCGTCCCGTTGTCTGGCTTACATCCCCCTTTGCTGCACCTGCTCAGGGGAGTCTGGCTGCCTCCCTGATGGCAGCCTCCATTACCAGAGCCTCTTGTGGGCCAGAAGGCGTTTTCTCACTTACCCACTTAGGTTTCGCACCTGAAGCTCCTGGCTGTTCTCTGTGATTCCAACAACATCCAGATCTTGGTCTGGGCCAATCCCCACAGCTTTGAAGGAGGGTTTGCTGTTCGTGTCGGGAGGGAGGGAGAGAGATGTGAGGTGGGGTGGGAGATTAGAAGGTGCTGGGAGCGGCCCCCACTCCCAGGAGACGGGGGTGGTAAAGAACACGTCCCAGGACACTGCTCTGGGCACAGCGTGGATGTGGTCTTGCTTCTCCAGTAGCAAGGCAAGTGGGGGAGGGGCAGAGGGAGAGGGAGAGAGAGAGACAATATGAATATCCCAAGCAGGTTCTGCACTGTCAGGGCAGAGCCTGATGCGGGGCTTAAAACTCATGAACCGTGAGATCATGACCTAAGCCGAAATCAAGAGTTGGACGTGTTTAACTGACTGAGCCACCCAGGCGCCCTGGTGCTGGGTTTAAGAGCCCTGGAGATGGAGGTTCTTGTCCTGGCTCTGAGACTGGCTTGATGGGTCACCTGGACAGGTCACACACACCCTTCTCCGGGTTTCCTTAAGCCTCAGTTTCTCCCTCTGTAAAATGATAGGTGGACCTGATGATCTCCAGAGCCCCTCCCACTTTGAACCATCTAGGGTCTTATGGTCCTGAGATGAGAAGGGCTTCCTGTCTAGGCGGAGGAAGGAAAGTAGAGAGATCTAGACCCAGAAGGAGGGACGGGGGTGGAAATGGACAGTCCCAGGACAGTTGACCTCTGTTCACCACTTACATCCTAACGAATAACCGACCAGCTTTGATTTTGTAGAACTCAAGAGCCGGCTGGTTTGGTGCATTCGTGAACTCTGGAAGGACAGAAACTCCAGGAACCTATTACCTTAAGGAGCCCCGGAGACACCTTGGTTGCATAACCCAGCCGCAGCAGCCTGCAGGGCTGGGCGCTCCTGCTGCTGACGCCGCAGTGGGCTGGGCTGCAGGGGGGAGGAGGGGCTGGCTGCCGGGGAGGCTGGGCTGGGTGGCTGCTGGAGGAGCCCAGGGAAGAGCAGGGGCAGGGCGTGCCTTCCCAGCTCGCCTCAGAACTGAAGGAGGCAGAGGTGTCCCGTCCGTCCGGGGTTGTGCACTGTGGCCAGCGGGGAGCAGCAAAAACCTGGTAACTAGGAAGCAGAGGGGGCGAAACGATCTGATGGATCAGTGACGCTGCCTGGAGCATTTATTGTAAGAAGGACCTTGAGGCTGCTTTAAGGGTCGACAGGAGAGGGTTCTGTGATTGATTGATGATGTCTGCCTGGCATTTCTCATTTTTGCTTCCACTCTGGGTCCAGTTTCTTAGAATCCTTGGGGCTTGCCAGGGAGCAGGTGCCCCACTCTGCAGCCGAGTAAACGGGTTCTTTTCCCTCCTCTCTGTTAGGCTCTCTGATCAGTGGCCTCCCCTCTCCTCCCTTTACAGGTAAAACCTTGGGAGAGGAGAGAATGACCCAAGCTAGAAACAGAGATGCTGCTAGAACTCGGGATGCCCAGGAGTTCAGGGGTCTTGGGCACAAATTCCAGGCCTCTCCTACCCAAGCAAGTTACTGATTTTCGCCAAACCTATTTCTAAAATAGATACAATAAAAACGACCTTTTTGCTTTTGCCAGGATCAAACGAATATAAACTCATCATGCAGATACCCTTGTTATGATTACGTAACTCTTCATCCACCGAAGGTTTGAAATTGCTTTTGAGATTTGCTGAGAGAGCTGGGGTTGCTGATGGGGCTCAATGAAATCAGGATCATTTAAACGAGATTTTAATTGATGGGACATTGAATAAGTAAATTATATTCTGGGACAGGGTGGCCTCCTGCAGAGCCAAGAAGGAGCGAAGCTGGCAAGGAGCCAGAACTGTGCGTTGGGGGTCATGGTGAGGCTTACTTTCTCTCGCTGCACCTCACAGGCATCCTATGAAGTTGCTGGTACTTTCTCCAATTGACTCTTGGGGAAACTGAGGCTTATGAGATTGAACTTCGTGTTGTTGTATGTGAAAGTGCTCAGGTTCAAGACTGGCTCTGTTTGACTCCAGTATCTATATTTTTGGCAAAGGAGGAGGCAGGGAGGAGGTCCTAAGGGTGAGGGGACAGCCTCTGGAGGCTTGGGTTGGGTACCTGTCATAGCCCATCTGCCCACAGGCTATCTTGGCCAGAGCTTCTGTGAAGTTGTCGAAACAGGCAGAGACCCAGCTTCTTGTGGCCGGGTCTAGCACCTGCAGAGTGGATCGGTCCCTGGAGAGGCGGACTGGGAAGGCAAGAAATTGGGTCAGCTGCATGTGGCAGGGGCCCGTCTGGCCCATCTCCCTCAGAAGTCATCATGAGACCAGCACACCCTCCCTACACCCAGACCCTGGAGCATCATAGAACACCGACCCTTTCAGCCCCAAGGGAACTTCTTCCATTTGGCTTTGCCCAATTGAGCCTCGTTTTGATGGTAGCTAGGGTGACCCGATGTCCTGGGAACAACCTCCATGGTGACCTATTGTCCTGGGACAATTGCTAATAACTTTTCCTTTTGCTCTTATAGGTATCAGTTTTGGTGATAGGTTGTGGCTCTCCTCGTGGTTACACACCGCTTGCCCAGCCTAGGGAACTTCTCAGTGAGGAACCTAGCTCCTTTTTCCACGTGAGGTCAGAGGGAGGGGTTGAGAGGGAAGTACTATTGGCAGTAGAATGGCAGGTGCCCATATGCATTTGACCTTCTGGTTAAAAAATAAAAATAAAAAAGGATATATGCAAGAAGTCCCTTTGTCCTGCCCCTCAAAAGCCCCAACACCCATCTCCTGGGCTATCCTTTCTCTCCAGAGCCCAAGTACTAGATGGATGATGCCGGGCTGGCCCCATCCAAGAAAGAATAGGCGTTTTTGTTTGAAACCTCCCCTATTCCTTTGAAGGACCTCTGTCCTTGTTGCATAGCATCCTTGTTGCTCAGTCTCGTTGCGTAGCATGTTACAGCGAGCACTTACCTAACGGATAGAGGAATCAATAGCTAGTCAATGGCTATGGCTATTGACCTTACTTTCCTAGTCCCCTTTCTGGTCTCCTGTAGAGAGGAGGAAACTCCCCAGGGTCATCCAATCCAGCCCCCTGCCTCAGTTCCACCCCGGTGCAGCAGAATGGGACAGACTGTGTTGCCATTTCCTGTCCCCTCTGGTCCCCCACTTGTTATCAGGTATTCACTGAGTATTTGCTGCATGATAAGTACTAGGATCTAGTTGGCGAGACCTGGTCCTGTTCTTGAGAACCTTACAATAAGGATGGGAACTGACCAGTTGGCAGATGCTATGCTGTGGACCAAGGGGACCTGAGCTGCTTTCCTGCTGTGCCCGCGCCCCTGGACTCACCTGTCACCGGGGACCCATCGGGGAAGTTCTTGACACAGAGCTGCTCATCCTCCCCTGAGGCACAGTCCTGCTGGCCGTCACACACCTGCTTCCTCGGGATGAAGTGGAGAGGCTGCCCGCACAGGAAGTAGTATTTGTCCAGAATCACTTTGACTGGAAGGCAGGGGCAGAGAGGGGGCTGTGAGGGCTGACAGTCAAGCAGGCAGCCGGGGGGGAGGGGGGGCGGGCAGGAGAGGCTGTGTGTCCCCTAAAAATATGGTGGGCTCTAAGGCAGATGAGGGTTCCAGACCCAGTTATTCCACTAGGTAGTCCGTGTACTTGGTCCTGAGCCTCAGTTTCCTTAGATGTCAAGTAACATCTGTCCTGTACCTGTGAGATGGGTGAGGAGTTCAGCGAGAGAATGTGTGGGAGAAATTTAGAAACAGCCCCCACTGGCCTCCTGCTCCCCGGTGCTGGTAATGAAAAGACAGCACTGGGCCTGCCCCCTCCTGTGTGACCTTAGACCCATCAATTCCCCTCCTGGGGCCTCGTAGCCTCATCTGAGCTGAGGTTGTTGACGACATTTGGCAAGCTGGTGGTTGTGAGTGTCTTGTAACTGTTAAGTGCAGTTCTAGAACTGGGTGTTTTTATCTGGGACTGAAGGACCCAGGAAGAGGCTGGTGTTTTGTTGGGTCTTCTGCCCGCTGCTTTCGAATTCGGTGGCTCCTTTGCTGTCTCGGGCTGATGGGAATGAGTCTCGCGTTTGTAACTCTTCAGGGAACAGATACCTCAACACATTTCTAAGGTCTCCTGGTAGGAAGAGAGCCTGTCGCCTAGCTGAACCCTCCCCTGGCCCGAAGCTCCCCCCTGCAGTCCACCATCACTCCTGGCGGGCCCCACAAGTGGTGGTCATCGGTCTGACCGTGGCCTTGCTTGTCACTGCTGAGAGCTTTCCCTGCACTGCCTCATGTAATCCTGACAAGTTCGGAGGCAGGTGCCGTGAGGAACTCACGTTGTAAGGGAAGACCCTGATCCATCAGCTGATGAATAGATAAAGGAGATGAGGTTTATATATACAATGGAATACTACTCGGCGATGAGAAAGAATGAAATCCTGCCATTTGCAACCACGTGGATGGAACTGGAGGGTATTATGCTAAGTGGAAAGAGTCAGTCAGAGAAAGACAGGTATCTTATGATTTCACTCATATGTGGAACTTGAGAAACTTAACAGAAGATCATGGGGGAAGGGAAGGGGGAAAAAATAGAGGGAGGGAGGCAACCCTTAAGAGACTCCTGAATGCAGAGAACAAACTGAGGGCGGAGGCGGGGTAATGGGTGATGGGCATTGAGGAGGGCACTTGTTGGGATGAGCACTGGGTGTTGTATGTAAGCGATGAATCACGGGAATCTACCCCCCTCCCCCCAAACCAAGAGCTCACTGTATACACTATGTTAGCTAACTTGACGATAAACTTAACAAAATAAGTGAGGACGCTGAGGTGTGGAGTGTTAGGGTTGATTTCCCAAGGCCACACAGCACTTAGGTGAGAGCTGGGATCCCAGCCAGGGTCTAACTCCAAAGCTCGCTCTCTCTCTGCCTCTCCACACCTTTCCTGAGGGGTTTCACGATGAGATCCACTGGCCTTGATGGCTCTGGTGCGAGTGAGCAAGGGAGGAGCAGGCTGAGTATTTCCTAGACCTTCAGACCTTCGGACTTGGGTTTATGGTCCGGAGCCAGGGTAAGGCAGGATCACTCCAGCCTCCTGGGACAAAGCCAGGACACCATGTCGCCAGTCGAGACCCCAGAAACCAAGACGTTGAGGGAGCCTAGCCTGGGACGGAGGCTCAGGTTACCTCCTCTGGTTGCAGAACCTGGGGGCCCAGGGCATGGAAGCCCCACAGGGCTTTGTGGGATGGGGAGATCCCCGTTCTTACTCTGGCACCACTGCCTGCCTGGCGTCCCCTGGAGGAGTTTGGCTCCTTTGTCCCTCTCCAGTGTGGCAGGACGTGTGTGCAGAGAAAGCAAGCTTTCCTTCTTACTAGTCTCCGTAGAACAGACCTAGGACCACAGCAAGTCTGCTGCTGCTGCTGCTGCTGAAAACCCATTGCAAAGGCTCCCCGTGCCCTGCTCCCCACCCTGAGTGTGAGTATGGGGAGGTGAAGGCAAAGGCAGTCACAGGAGTGGGAGCTGCGAGGAGGGACTGCGGGCATCACAGGTCATTCGGGTCACTCTGTCACAGAGTGCCTGGGGGAGATCACACGGGGTCTAGACACTGGCCAAGAGGAAGATAGCGCTAAAGGCAGGGATGGTGTGCTGTCTGCCCCGGGGGGCGGGCTGGGGGGGTGGCTTCCCCAGGGTCTTTTTGGGGCTCTCTGCTGCTCTAGCCAGTAGGGCTGCTCAGGGGTCTGCAGACCGCCCCCTCCCCCACCGGCCCGGCCAGTGGCCTGCGTGGGTTTGTAACATGTGCTGCTGTGTTTTCCCCGTGGCAGAGATCATCTGGGGGTAGGTGGGGGCTGAGCTCACCTCCCTCTCTCACTCCCTTCAGCGCAGGGGTGGATGCAAAGCACACAAGCTTTATGCAGATCACCTGCCTGTGACTGCTGGCTGGAAGGGTGGAGGGTAGGACTGTGCTCAGAGAGGCGGGTGGGGGCGGCCACTTACTGAGGACAGCCGTGATGATGATGGTCGCCAGGCTCAGCAGTGCTGCGATGATGGGGACTCCCACCTTTTTGAAGGTCTCCAGGGGAGTGCGGGGTTTGCGCAGAGGGGTGACATCTGTGAGACGGAAAGAGCCTACAGTCAGCACTTGAAGACTGCCCCTGCCAAGGCCCACAGCCTCCCTGCCCTGTGGCCCTGGTGCTGAGCCCCAGGATGCTTTGGGGACGGTTTTGCTTCGCACTGGGGGTTTCTTCCTGCAGACTGGGCTTAGCTTCAGTGGCACAGGGTCACTCCACCTCCTTCACTTACCCAGGCTTAGCCATCTTTCACCTGCGCCCTTCAAATGAGCCTCCAGACCATGAGGTCCTTCCCTTGTCTTTTTTTTTTTCAACGTTTATTTATTTTTGGGACAGAGAGAGACAGAGCATGAACGGGGGAGGGGCAGAGAGAGAGGGAGACACAGAATCGGAAACAGGCTCCGGGCTCTGAGCCATCAGCCCAGAGCCCGACGCGGGGCTCGAACTCACGGACCGCGAGATCGTGGCCTGGCTGAAGTCGGACGCTTAACCGACTGCGCCACCCAGGCGCCCCTCCCTTGTCTTGACTTAGTCTCTTCTGGGGTGTTTTACCCTGTCCCGTCTGCCCCGTGCCTGCCCCAGGAGAGGCAAGTACTCACTTTCCTATCCTTGATCCTCTTTTCTGACTTCTCTTTTGATGAAACTAGAAGCTTGCGGAGGGCAGGGACCTGAAGCTCTTAATAAATACTTGTGAATGAATGTGTCCTCGTGGCCTCCATCTCCAGCTCAACAAACCAGTGAGTCCCTAGAACGGTCCTTGTCTTTAAGGCGATGGAGGTTTGGGAGAAGAAGCAAACAAGGACGTAGTTGCCGCTAACCCCAGCTATCATCAGAGCTCTTAAATGGGTCTCTGTAGGTGGAGATGGGTGGGTGGGGGGCTAGACCAGCTGGGCAAAGGCCCGGGGGTGGGCCTCCGTGAGCTCCCCATGTGCCTGGGATGTGACGGGGGCAAACGCATGTTGTGGAGGCAGGACTGGCCTCGTCACTTTGTAGAGCGTCTTGAATACCATGCCAGGAGTTTGGATTTTATCCTGAAGGGAGGGTGGAGCTAGGGGAAGCTTTTGAGCAGCAGAGAAACACGATCCCATTAACGCTTAGAAAGATGAACAAGAGTTTGGAGTTAGGAGTTACAGGTAGGAGCCTGGAGATGCCTAAAACGGAAGTCATGATGACTGTCCATTTCATATCATTATCCAAGGAGGTGGTGCGGGGGCAAAGATTTGAAAAAGTTAAATTCTCAGGAAGTTTCCCAGAGTGATTGGTTCTCTGACACCCCCTCATCTTGCAGGCAATAAGCTGGAGGAGGTGCCTCGGGACTTCTCCTCCGGGGTGAGCTAGGGCAGGAAGTGTGGCAACCCTGAGAATCCCTGGAAAACAATAGGTCAGCTCTCTGCCCCTCACCTCCCATGGCTTGTTCTCTCATCTTCTTCCAGTTATCCTTCAAGTGTCACCTTCCACGTGAGACCTTCTTGACCTCCCATTTTCAAAGGTAATTCTCCAATTGCCTGTCCTCCTCCCCTATTTTTTTTAAACGCCTATCAGCTCTAACACACTCTATAACTCTACAACTCTAACACACTCTGAAGTGAAGGCTCCACGAAGAGAGGGGTCTTTGTCTTTTTTGTTCACTGCTGAGTCCCTGGTGCCTCAACAGATATCTGGCTTGATCAATATCTTGGCTTGATCAATATCTGGCTAGCCAATATCTTGGCTATCTTGATTAAGCCAAGAATTGTTCTTGGCTTGATCTTGTAAGTATATCCTTTCTGTCTTTCTTAACGGGTCTTGTTTTCTGGCTTAAACGATGGCTAGTTCTAGGTCTGTCTTGCTCTCTTTCCTCAGCTTTTCATAAGCAGAGAATGGCGCCCAGCCAGAGACTGGGAGCCCAGTAAGTGCTGATATCATTGAATCTGTTGAAAGGGAAAGCACAGAAAACTTTGTGTTTCCTCCAAAGGGAGAGTTTAAACCTTAGACACAGGGCTCAGGCCCTGGGGGGTGTGGGCTGGTATTGCCTGTTATCCCCAGGAGCTCGCATGAAGGAGGCTATCAATCTCTCTCTCTCTTTTTTTTTTTTAATGTTTATTTATTTGAGAGAGACAGATGAGTGGGGAAGGGGCAGAAAGAGAGGGAGACACAGGATCCGAAGCCGGCTCCAGGTTCCGAGCTGTCAGCATAGAGCCCGACGCGGGGCTCGAACTCACTGACTGTGAGATCATGACCTGAGCCAAAGTCAGTTGCTCAACTGACTGAGCCACCCGGGCGCCCCAAGGGGAGGAGGCTATCAATCTTAGCAGATATTGTTTTAGAGTCCCAGTGGTCAGTGTGCAGAACTGTCCTCTTTCCTGTGGCTGTGGATATGGTGACATTTTGCTCATCCATTCATGCATGATTTCTTTACTGAGCACCTACCACTGGGGACATGAGGTGGGCTTGTTTTCTCAGAGGTGAATCATCTATGGGGAGCCCTTCAATGAGTTCCCGTGTCCAGGTCCTGCTGTCTCTGCCTCCCTGAGGTTCTCGGAGAGCATCACCAGGACGGGTAGAGTTTTCCTGGTTTGTGTTTCATACTTAAGGTTAACAAAGCCACCGTGAGCTATGAAGAGTCTCCCCACCTGCCACTGTTCCTTCCTCCAGCCTGCACACTGCTGCCAGATAGAGCCCCCCCAAATATCGTTGCCCTGTCATTTCCCTGCTTGAGAACCCTCCATGGCTTCTGTCTCTAGACCACACTCTTTGCCGGACTTTGAAAGCCAGTGTGATTTGGCCTCCCTCTCTTCATCACGTGGACTCCGCACTGCCCATCCTCGCCAGCCCCCGGCGCCACACAGGCGACTCATGCCCTGGTCATTCTTCCCTCTGAACTTTTGCACCTGTTCTTTCCTCCGCCCCTGAAACCCCCATCATTTCCTGCTGATCCTTTACTCCCGTGGGGACTTCGTCAAAGCTCGCCCGACCCACGACGCTATGGTCTCTGATCACTTGGCGCTAATCTCTCGCTCTCGAGCTCCCTTCACACGGACGTTGGTGGCAAATTTAACTTGTTTTCTGGTTTGGCAGTTCTCGGGCTTTCTCAGCTGGCGGAGCGCTTGGATGTCTGGTGTTCTCTGGGGACACTGTGGTCTTTTGCTATATCTGGTTCCAAAGTAGGTACCATCTTACTTGTGGGAGATTGTGTGGTTTCCGATCATTATTAACTTGGGACCCCGAAATTGTTGAAGGAAGTGGGATCGGTTAATTCCTTGTTGATCTGCTGTATTAATTTGTTCTTTGCTCCCCTGTTTCGCTGATACAGCGGGCTATCAGGAGTAGCTATCAATGGTTTAAGAAAATGGAATGGGAGGGGAAAAAAAACCCTTAAATTTGGGAACACTTCATCTCTTAAATTATTCAGGCAAACACTATACTTTTCTAGTCTAGCAGGGAAAATAGCTTTGTCCAGCTTGTTCCGTGGCAGCATGGTCAGACTGTAAACTTCACGAGGGCAGGGACTTGGCTGTCTTATCTCCTGCTTTAGTCTAGCACCTAGCCCAGAGCCTGGCACATGGCAGGCACCCACGGTGTCATTGAATGAATAAGAAAAGCAGAAACTGAACCAATGAGTTGGAGAAGAACTGCTTTTGGGGGTTTAGGTTTGTCGGTCCTATTTCTCCTATTTGCTTCCTACTTCTAGAATTATCCTGGACCTTAGAGTTGCTTCATACTTTTTGGTTGAATGATGAATGGGTGGGTGGATGGATATCTTCCATGCCATTTAGCCGCTGGTGGTGGCAGTGAGGGCCATGCAAGAGGGGTTTAGTACCTATCTGGTAACTGATTGAAACTTGGAGGCTGAGGTGGTCAAGGGAAAGCCGGACCTGAGCTTACCAAAGCTGTTCAGGGGTTGATCGCTGCCAGGATCCTGTAATTGAAGGAAAAACAGTCAGTGAGTTGAGTGAGGGAACCTGTCAAGCTGGGGCTAAGAGCCCAGGGGAGGCTCTTGGTTCTTATCTCCATCCCCTTTTTCCTGCTGAATCTAAGTGGGGAGGGCTCTGTGGGCTCTGTGATACCTAATTGGTTCAAAAAATAAAATTCAGTTAGGCATCTATATTACCTGGTACAACTCGCTTACTAATTGTAGCAACTAGTCGGCAACTGTAGAAATGACTGGCCGTTGGGTTGTGGTATTGCTGAGTCTCTGAGGACGATTCTCTGCTCTGCTGTTTTGGTCAACCATTTGTCTACTTCAGTCGATGTTGTAGTTCTGTAAATACTTGGACACGTCACAAAAGGGGATACTTCAATGGCCAGTCGGTGCCAAAAGGCGCTCAGTATCCTTACTCGCCCAGGCAAATGCAAATTCACACTGCAATGAGATAGCTCTCCACGGACACCAGAATGGCTAACATTAAAAAGACTGACAGGGCTAAGTGTTGACGAAGATGTGGAACAGTTGGAGCTCTTACACTTTGTCGTTGGGAGTATCAGCACGGATACTTTGGGAAATGGTTTGGCTGAATCTGCTAATGCTGTATGACTGTTCTATGGTTCTGTGACCCAGGAATTAGCCAAGAGAAATGAGTGGGTGTGTGTCTAGCAAAATATCTGTACGTGAATGGGTGTAGTGACTGCACTCGTAATGGCTAAAAACTGGCAAAACCCAGCGTCCATCATTGGTGGAATAGATACATAAATTGTGGTATCTTCATATCATGGAATGTGTTTCAACAATAGACAAGCATAACCTAGTGCTAAGTGTAATGAATCTCATAGACCTAATGATGAAGGAAAGAAATGCGACACAGGAGAATATATTCACTATTTCATATATATGAATTTCACAAGGTAAAGTTAATCTATGGTGACACAAGTCAGAATAGGGATTACCACTGGGGGGTGGGGCAGTTATTGGAAGCAGCATGATGGAACCTTCCGGAATATTAGAAAACACATAGATCTTGATTGAAGTGTTGGTTACACGGGGGTACATATGTTGAACATTCACGGAGGGGGGATACTTTAGATCTGAGTACTTGACTGAATGCGTGTCATGACATCATGACATCAGTTATTTACAAGCACACAAAAAGCCATACGAGAGCACTACGGCATTTCTGCAAGTGTCGCCTTAGGTCACCATTGACACACATCCCCAAATACACACAAGCCTCTGTTCTTCCACTTATACCACTTCACGTGTGCACTCGGCACACACACAGCCACACAGGGTCACACACAGGAGCCGCGCACGCAGGGCTCACATACGAAGTCCATACACCCCCTTTCCTGCAAAGCGAAGGTTTAGGGGAAGCAGTGGGTGCGGGGGGACTGCCAAGGCTCATGCCTCACTCTTGTTCCTCCCAGAAATCTCTCCTCTCTGCTCCGTCTCCAGCTGGTACAGGATCTGGAGTCCTTGGGCTGGGGGAGCGGCGGGCCTGCGTGAGGTCTGGGTCTCCATCCTGGGACCGGTCTGCCCATTGTGCTGAGGTCATGACGGTTCCACTGGCCGGTGGAAGAGTTGCAGGACCCCGAACACTTCTGCCTGGGAGTTTTTCTAGTCCTGTTTGGGAGTGACCGGGCTGCTTCTAACCCCTGTGTGGGGGTCCCAGATTAGGTCTGGTGGGGGTGTGTGCGTGTCCCTGGTGTTTGCCGTGGCTGAGCGTGGCAGACATGGTCTTTGGGAGAGGGAGCCCCTTCCTTATCTCCCGGACTCTCTAACCTGCTGGAGGGACGTGCCTGGCTTGGCCCTTCGGTGACGTGGGGCCTTGGGCTGCTGGGGGACATAGCAGAGACAGCAGGCTGTGGAGTTCGCAGGGGCTGAGTTGGAATATAGGTCCTGCATCTTATTACGTGTGAGCCTTGGGTGTAGGATGGTTAACCTCTCCGAGCTTCACGTTCACCCTCCTCAAAGTGGGGGAAATGACACCTACTCGGAAATGCTACCATGAGACGTGAAAGTGAGACGTGGAGCGGAAAGGGGCTGGCTCACGCGTGGGAGCTCCCTTCCCTCCTGGGCCCCCTGGCATTTGCTGCAGCACTTTCCCACTGGGCACCCACTTATTGCCTTTGTGCCCTCAGAATTTTGCACCGGGCTCGTCCCCAGCAAAAGACCGGATAAATGGTTGTTCGAGGGAACTGGACTCTGGGCTCTGTCCTGTGGATGACTCCCAGCCACCTCCCCTCCACTGTCTCCAGGGCCTGGGTGGGGACTATTTCCAGGATACAGATGAGCACAAATCCTGCACCACTGCATTGCTGTGGCTGCAGAGTTGGGTAACAACAACATCAACGGTACTTAATCTACATCTTGGCGTGTAACGCTTCACCAGATTCTTTTGTCTGACTCAGTTCAAGTTCAGGGGTGCAAAGGATACCAGCTGTCTGATAACCAGTATGGGTAGTTAAGTGTTCAATTAAATATTTGACCAGGCCCTGCTCTAGGGGCTGTGGATTCAAAGACAAATAAATAAGTACAATAGGACAGGAGAGGTGCCCAGACAGGCCGGGCCGGGCCTGTCCTGCCCTCACCTCTGGGGAATGGGGAGTAGAGGGTGTTGGGAGGCAGGGGGAGGGCAGGTGTGAACAGATGAAGCCCGAGTGGCAGGTGCCATGCAGAGTGAAGTGGGCCATGGGAGAGCACGCCTGGTGGGTGCTTAGGGCCGGAGGCCTAGGGAAGGGGCCAGGGTGGTTAGGGACAGCCTCCGGGCTGAGATCTGAATGACAGGGAGGAGCAAGGTTGACACGGGAGGGACAGAAGATCAGCAAGGGCAAGAGGAGGGAGAACCAGGGTGGTGGTGGGGAAAGTCACCGTGTGTTTGGAAGAGAAAAAGCGGCAGCCGTGGCCAGTGGGTTGGACGCTCTTCGGTCTTGAGTGAGCAGGTAGGAAGGTATTTGCTGAGATACAAGGGCTGCGGGGGGGGGGGGCAGGTTAGAGGGGTCAAGAACACCCATTTAGTGGCCCTTCCCTGTCCGCTCATTCTTTTTCACTCAGTCTTCCTGTGCTTACATGCCTGCGTTAGTTGAGGTAGGTAGGGCGAGTCTCTTTTGTTTATTATTAATTCAGCAAATATTGACTGTTTGCCTTTGACGGGCCCTGAACTGTGCTGGGGGCTGAGACACAGAGGGAACAAAAGAGGCTTACAGTCTGCGCTCTCTTGGTTCCTCGTCTGTGAGTGGAAGTGACCTCAGTGCCCCTTTAGCTGATACGTGTTCGACGGTGGCCCACGGAACAGTGTGTTTGCACAGAAAACATCCCACACCTTTTTGAAAACAGAAAATAAACTAAATCAAAACCACAAGCTTGAATTACAGACTGTGACTAATCGGTAATTATGGCATCCCAGGTGTCTCCTACGATGCCCAGCATAGAGTGGGTGTTTAATCAATATTTGTTGAGCGAAAGACTTAAGGAAAGTATCCTGGTTTCAGGGCTCAGTCCCAGGCCAGCCTTGAAGAAGCTGACGGTGGCATATGCATACAATGGAATATTATACTGCCGTCAAAATGAACCATGGGGCCACAGAATAGTATGGACGGCATTAGTAATTTAACGTTAGAGGAAAAAGCAAATCCCAAAAGATGACATGTAACACAGAATCTTTTTCATAAGGGAGCAAGGAAATGATCAACATGGGGTTGGGGATGGTGCTTACTTTCAAGGGGGCTCCTAGCACATTTCCTGGCCTCACAAAGGTACATAATCAGTATTTGCTGAATTATTAAACATCAGACTTGCCCACCCACCTGAGCAGGGGAGGGAATGTGTGTGTTGGGGTGGGGGGGGGCGCAGGGGAATCTCATGGTTAGATGCAGCTTTTGTCTGGGGAGGTGGATTTATGGAGGCTTACATTGTTAGAGCCATCTAATGAGCTGGAGAGTTACAAGGGGGCCCTGCAGGGACCGACAGTGGAAAAAGAAAATGGCATGAATCCAGGAGTAGGATTTGTCCTGTGGTGTGCACCTGAGGTTCAAAGAGAAAATAAAAAAGCAGTTGCCTGGCTGTGCTGAGGGGTTAAGGAGACAAACTCCTATCTTCCCATCCTCCTGAGCTCTACTCTGACTCTCATGCTGCCCAAGTTCTTCTGTCAAGTGGCCTGCTCTTTGGCTTTCTGGAAGCTTCTCTGGCACACATCTCGGACACAGTGAGATCAGAGATGCTGGGTTGCTAAACTTCTGGGAAGGGGAGCTGCTGAAGGTCACAAGCATCCGGGGTCATGGGCAGGGAGGTGGGCACACTTAGGTCTAAGAGTGGCAACTGGGGAATGTCCATGTCAATGACCTTCCTGAGGAGGGTGGAGATGGGAGGGGACGCATGGTAGCTGTGTTGCCTTTCAGTCCAGAATCCATCCCGAGCTGGGGCTGAGAGACGAGGGCACCAGGTAAGATTCAGGAGCCTGGCCATCCCCCATCACTGGGTGAGTCTATGCCGTGATCAGAGGGCACAGAGCTGAAAGGGGTTCTGAGGACCATCCCAGGCAACTCCCTCATTTCCAATAACAGGCCAGATGGGGGAGATGCCTAGCCCTGGAGTTGACAGAGGGAAGGAGATTGAGAGGCCACCCAAGACCAACTGTGCTGCCTTCTGCCTTGTGCGAGGTGTCTCAGTTTATCTCCAACTTGAACTCAGCCTCAGACCACAACTGCCACAGTCCAAGCCCAGCCCAACCCTAGGAAAGGCACCGGCCTTTCCCGTGTTGTTGGGGCTGCTGGAGGGGCAGGCCTGTCTGCTGTGTTGATTCAGTCTGCTACAGAGCCCTGACTCATGGGTCCAGCCCAACCGGTGTCCGACTTAGGGGTTCATCTGGGAAGGAAGCTCCTGCTGTCTGGATTACAATGGAAGGGCAGGAATGCCTGGGCCCCCAGAGCCCAGGAGTGCTGGACTGGACAAGGTGGGGGTGGGGAGGGGGGAAGGAGAAGTTAGCA